CACATGATACATATATTACCAAAATTTAGTCGAAAATATCAACAACGAGCTAATCCAAATACAATTTTAAATAGAAGCAACTTGACCAATTTTTGATGAAAAATATTGACTTAAAAATGATCTATTTCTAGTGTTGTATCTTCCAAGTGTTTATTAACAGTTGTCTACGCAAAATACTTTGGATCCGTTGGCCAGACACTATCATCAACCACCTACAGTGCGAGAAAACAAACCAGATTCCACTGGTGAAAGAAATTAGGAAGAAGCTCTGGAAGTGGATAAGATACACATTAATGAAAGCACTCAACTGCGTCACAAGGCAAGTCCTCACTTGTAATCCTCAAGGTCAAAGGAGAAGAGGAAGACTAAAGAACGCATTACTCCGAGAAATGGAGACAGATATGAGAAGAATGAACAACAATTGGATAGAAGCAGAAAGGAAGGCTGATGATAGAGTGGGTTGGAGAATACTGGTTGGCGGCCTATGCTCCATCGGGGGTAACAGGCGTATGTAGGTAAGTGTCATATGATATTAGTAGTCGTTTTGTTATTCGCTTCAATGATACCAAATAGAGGGCTTCAAAATATGACTTTTATAAATCCACCAAATAATTCAACTTCATGCATTGTTAATCTGATTATTTACTTCATGCCAATTATCTCAAGTTTAGTGATTATTCACCTGTTACCATGAGAAAACAGAGTATACAACTCTTAGTTATACAACTGAATGACTCGTAGAACTGTAATCACCATCTCTGATAGGTAAGTTGAAAGCATTGTTTGACTGTTTTATTTGCTAACTTCAAACAATTTTCTACTAACTAAGTAAATAAAGGGTCTAGACGATGAATAATTTACTGCTATTACTATACGGAGTTTGTGGAGGTTGTAGTTTATATTAAGGACTAATCATAGACAACCATTTAAAACTAAGAGGTACTCAATTGCTATTCAGTTCCATTATGATATTGAGCAGCGAGCACCTATGACCCAATAAAGGATCAAGCCCGTGGACCCTCAGGTCTCAAGATGAATGAGGACCCAATATCTATTGAAAATTCCAGGAGTTCTAATAAGAAAGTGTGACCAACAGAGTTCGTTATCGACAAGTGATTGAGGTTGGAAATGTAAACTATTGAACACTGTCTCAGCGGTCTAAGATTCAAGCACTCACCGCAACCCCTGAAATTCCTCAATCCGACTCTTTAATGGCTTCGTCAATGTTTACTGATGAGGATTACCACACTAGGAAGAAACAGCCTTCTGGTTCTTTTTGGTTTTCATTAGTTTTGCAGGCTCGTAGCATAAAATATGAAATTGACTACTGGTTAAAAATCCTAGCTATGAATGCGCTTTACATATTTCATAGTATTGGGCAATATAAGTAATATATATGAAATGTAATATAACTGTAGACCTTCTCTTTTCATGAATATATTTATCGATTCATTTAAACAACAGCTGTGAAACTCTAAACATTATCTTTAGTTGTTTAATCCTCAAGCCAAATGGAACCAACTTGGCATATATGAATCAATCAATTGGAATCCTGTTGTAAATTTACGACTAGTATAGTCATATGAATCACATCTGTTTTCCCAGTAATCAAACGCAGAACATTTTGCTCGTGTCAACTAACATGTAGCTATCGTTACCACTGAATTAATAACCAAAAATACAGATTCACAATTGATCTGTTTTTGAAATAAGCCACTACAGAAAAACTGATTATTATTATTATTATGTTCATAAAGACAAAACCTTTAGGAGGATCGTTCCATTTTGAAGGTTCTAGATTTAACTCTTAAAAGAAACACGGGTACTCATTTATGAGAGATATAATACTACAATGAAATATTTGTCTGATGCTGGTTAGCTTTCAAATGTCTAACTAAAACTAAACCCCAATGTAAGGTATTATTAAACTCTAGGTATCAATACCAAAGTTGTACTTGATGGTTTCAAATGAAATGAGCATTGGTTAAAAAGTTAGTTATAAATATAATTTTTATGATATCCAAATGAATAGAAAATTGTATTTTTGGCGTTTCTTGACTTAGTGTAGATCACTTCTTCAAAGCATTTATTTAGTCTGAAGAAGTGATCTACACTAAGTTACGAAACGTCAGAAATAGAACCATTTTATCATTCGGTTGTCACGAAAATTATTACTATTACTATTATTATTACTATTGTCATTAAAATGAACAACTCCTATAAAAATCCCATCTTAATGATGTATTCATTCTTTGAAAAATGTCAAGTAACACAATTGTTTACCAAGTTGTTTACGAAGTCAAAATTACGTCATACATATGTAATTAAAAAATAACAGTAGGATACTAAAATGTATTCAATTAAAAGATAAGTGTACTTTCTTCCCATTCGCATGTTATATACTTTACAGCTAAACTGGATAGTTAAATTTTTGTGGCAAAATGAATTGAATAAGTAATTTTTAAAAGTCATATATTTCTTCTGTGTGCTGTGATGCCAATGACTTTCTCTTTCATTTGCATAAACAAAAAGTTGCCCAACTGTAACTGACCGTCACTAGGTACTTGAAATTATTTAGTATGGAATGATTAGTAAAGTTACATTTTGAACGAAATAATATTTTATTGAGATCGTGAACTAATCTAAACTATATAACCATCGAGGACATGGAAGAACTGCACGGTCGTTTCATCGTAGTATGGGACTGATCAGCGGTGTACGTCCATGACCTAGCAAAGAGGAATCGAATTCAGGAATTTCAGTCTACAGGGTGAACGCTTAATCTACGGACGACTGAGCCGGTATCTAATGGTGCACGAGTCTGACTTCAGTCAATCCGCAATATTGTACGACCATCCTCAAATGCGAAACCGTGAGCAGTGGTTGACTAATAAATTGAAAACTTCTCACTACATAGTTTTAATAATTTTTGATTATTGTTATTTTGATATCTATTTTTCAAAAGTTTTCAACCTTCTCCCCATTATGAAACACCGATTCAATACTTTATTATTATTATTGTCACAAATAGCACACCAATCGTCGTGCTATCCCATTGGTACTTTTTACTTAATATATTTAGTTATGTAATCTATTCCGCTGTTACCATTGATTCATAAACTGCCTTGAATGATTTAACATATGTATGCAATATAAATATTATTTTAGAGTAAAATCCTATAAAGATCTCATTGAAAATGACATTATTCGCTAACATGTATCATTCTATTTTACAATATGAGAATTTCAATATTTTCATAAACTACTTATATCTGACATGTTCAATCAGTAGGCTAGTAGTCCTTTTCGTATTTACAATTGGTTGATCACAAGATGGTGATCAATGTCATGAATGTCGGGTTGTACTTAGGGACAAATAGCACAAAACCTAGGTCCAGGGTTTCCTGCTGTCTAACCCCAACCACCATCTTAATCGTTTTTGTCTTTTGAGATATAAAACTATAATGACTGTGAAAATTTTAAATTAAACCATTGCAATCAAATCATTCATTGTATCAATCTATCATGTGATTATAACGAAACTATATATTTTATAAACTTAATAGTGAGAAATAACTAAAAGAAACATGAATAGAAACTAATAAATAAATGAGTTTATTGGTTTAAGGATTTTATGAAGATTGTTGAGTTGCATAGCTTACATCACACAAACTAATTTTAGTCAGCCAACTATTTAGTGAAACTAGAAATGTCGACTATTGTTTTAGAATAATTAAACATCTACTATGAGACTTTTGAAGTACATGGAATCAGTCACCGATGAGGTCATGGATGTGAACTCATGAAAAATCTCATAATACTAATTATCAAATTGATCAATGATGATTAGTTTTCAATAGTTATTTAACTAAAGTTAATCTGTGATGTGAAACTATGGGAAAATAAATGAGCATTAAATGTACTAGGTTATCTTTGAGAGTATCATAGTAAAGTCAATATGGTTCTTTCCAATAATAAGCAATATTTTATGTAATATGAAGAAAAAAACAATCAAATAATTTAGAAATATGTATATATAACAAACATCTAATCATATATAATTAGCTATCAGTCAATCTAATCCCTAAATGCTAGAGTTTAATTTACGTTACCACTGGACTTCTACAGGTAAATTGCACAGAATAACAATGTTAATCAACTCTGTAGACTATGAGAGATGAATTATTATGAGAATTATCTCATTAAGATGTAGATCACCTCCCAAATTCCATGGTACGGCTGAGAGTGGAGAGAGTTCACTCTCCCTCTAGAAATGCTCTCACATGGCCACGCGTATACAGCCACTGTCAGGGAAGTCCTACTCACCAACTTCTCGCGGTAGGGGTGTTGGTTACGACAAAAACCGAATGTCCGCCACTTTAACCGGGTCGGTGGACACGGACGGTCCACTTAGGAGAGATGGAAAACCGTCATTCCAAATCGTTAGTGCATATGGGCTCCAGTATCCTGAGGCAACAACTGGTGTATGGACTAATTGTTGGTCACCGGCTAACATGGGACTGAATCTCCTTACGTTGTTCCACTGCCTTATGGGTCAGAACTTTAGATCGAAGTCTCTGGGTGTGACCCCCTAAGAAAACCGCCTGCTTCGGTTTGAGCACCCAAACAGTATCCCAACCCTCACACAAACCGAATGATTTATGTGGCGCATATCTATTTAGTGCATCCTTGTACCAATGTTTATGGGTTTAAGTAAATAAAATAAGAAACTAAATAAGAAACAGATCGAACGTATATATATATTCAACTTAAAATGTACAGAATGTATGTATTCAATCTTAAGTCTCATGTTTTTATGCATGGGAACTAAGAACATTATGTCTGTAACCAAACTCAAGTAGATGAACTAGTGCAAAGCATTGTTCTGCCAAAACAACCAATAATGAATTCTAATAATAATAATAATTTTAAATAAACATTGAATAAATCAGAGAAGAAAAATTTAGTAAACAATTCTTATTATTCAATCCAATACTTACCTTGTTTTTTTAAATGTTCTACGAAATTGTACACGTGAGAACATGATCCTTATTGATTTAATTCCACACAATAATCACCAACTAATTCTAATAAGTTTGATGATAATAATAATAATAATTGTTATTATAGTATTGATCACAATTCTATGAAATAAGATAATCGATTATAATGTTTGTTATGGTATTGATTTTTCTGAGTATTCAATGTCAGTATCATCGTTGGTATCATCTTCATCATCATGATGGTTATTATTAACACGGTTAGTTTAACATGGTAACTAATAATTCATTAAAAATTTTTATTCCATTGTGTAAAATATGAAATGTACTTATTTATTTCCAAATTATATTCACGTTTTGTACTACTGATAATAATAATAATAGTAGTAAGGTGTATCCTTTGACACACTGTTTATAACTGTCCTTTTATGTAATAATATAATGTAATGTACATATTTTGTATTTTATAGGTGTATCATTTAAATATCCATTGAAGAAATTCTATTACAAAAATAGAAAGAGAAAAGTTTTGTTTAGAAAATTGAAAAATAAATAAATAAATAAAGGAAATACATTTCTCTATCTTAATGTATTGCTTAAATTACTATCTTATATATATCTATGCAGTGGATTTGAAACAAACAGGTATACATATACATTTACATGTTCATGTATATAGTAAATAACTTCTTGATTAAAATAATTGTGTGATTCGTTCAATCATAATGTTTGTTACTTAGTTAGTTAGTTAGTCAGTTGGGAAATGTCAATTTACTTTCTATTATTTTCTGCACATTTAAAGCAATACATCTATCCAGATATTTACATGTATATGTCTGTAAATATATGGATATATATATATATATATGTTTGTATGTATTAGTATCCGTGTACTTGTAGACATACAACATCACTGTTTCTTCCTTGATTCCTTTTTTTTTATTTTTCAATTTCTTCTATCGTTTATAAAGCAGATCATTGTACTAAAGGACTATTGTGCGATACATACATTCTATGTGTAGTCCAATGTATATAAACGAACAACAACTAGACTGGACATATATTACATACTTTTATACAAAAACAGCCTATATATATATATATATATATATATATATATATATATATATCGATTATTGAACCCATAATGGTTACTGCACTATGAAAACTACCGAGTGTGTGGGTGGACTGTTTTCTAGCGAGAGAGAAAAGCGCACGAGAAACACGTCGTGTGATCATGTGTAGTTGGACAGTAATTTTGACAGACAAATGGAACAAATGTCGCAGTCTATGTACGTTGATAATGATGATGACGGTGCTAATATTAATAGTTGAAATGGTAAATAAAAAGAGGTTAGGGATTAAAATTTGTAAACATATGTTTCTTTACTTTTAAAAAAAATAAACAAAACCTAATGAATAAGTTCACTTGGTATTGTTTACTTGAATCTTCCCATTGATGTTTAAGAATACAATTGATCAGTCTCTTAATGATATATGTGCATCCTGTGTGAATCGCCTCGATATCGCCTTAATTCACAAGCATTCTAAACAAAGATGGATCGTGGCTATCAATGAAATCCAGAACGCGCGTTTCGTCCTGCTGAGGTTGAGTCCCGGAGTGAACATGAACTCTGCGATGCAGGTACATCCAGCTGACGAGTCCCAAATAGGACGAAGCGCGCGTCTTAGATTCCACTGCTGGTCACTATCCATCTTTACTTCTAATTATTAAGTGTTTTTTGGCTATTTATTATTATAGTATTTTGGTTGTTAAATTTAATTATTAATTGATAATAATAATAATAATAATAATAATGATACATCCAGTTTACCATCAGATCAACTACGACGTATATATAAATATATATACATATATATATATATATATATATATATATATATATATATATATATATATATATATATATATATATATATATATATATATATATATATATATATATATAGCTAATTCCCTAGGAATAAAATATCATTAAAATAATACTCAAAGTAATGATAGAAAGAATTGAATCTGTTTAAAAATTGAATGGAATCATATTCATTGTTATAGGGTTTTGTGGAAATTGTTAAATTTACTAATCCATATCAAAGATTAATCTCAGTTAGACAACCATTCAAAACTAGGATTGATTAAACTGTCGTTTTGTCTTAGCATGGAGCCACTCATCAGTGTACATACACGCCTTTGCTTAAGGGATAGAACCCAGGATCGTCCAGGTTTGAAGTCTAGCTCTAAGCCTTTGAACTACTGAGCCAAGATCAAACATTTCACATTTATAACTTCGATTAATTCATGATAGTGAACAGTTATTAACAATTATTATCTGAACGTTTGAAATTCGATCAAATTCCGATAAGATGATGAGTGCACACTGTTGAAGAATCCCACACTAAGACGAAATAGCCTTCCAGTGTCTTCAGGTTTTTCACTCATATTTATTTGAATTTTAAAAATCATTGTAGGTTCAAGAATGTATTAATAATGATTCACAAATTATCTCAATTATCCGATTAGATATAAATATATATTTCCTTATTCCATACTACTTGTGAAGCTATATAAATAGATCACATATCAACAATGTGATATGTTGAAACTGATTTCTGAACATACACTAGTTATTATTATTATTATTATTAAAAGTAACAGAATTACGAATAACTTCAGACAGTTGAAAAGACTTTCATCATTTGATAATTACATGAAAAGATTTGTAAGAAGTAGTTGGTATGAGAAATTGAATTTATTACTCTTCAACAGAGTCTATCTGTTATCTTAAGGGAACCGACATTCTTTATGGGATTCAAACCTGCACTACTCAGTTTCACTGATTCAAATGTTGCTATTGAGTAATTTGAGCAACGACTGTACTTCTATAGGACTGAAATATTTACGTTAACTGATCACTGGGTGTGTGACTAATATCATTTTTGTCTATCCATTACTGTTGTTCGAATTCTATCAGTTTAGTCTAAGTGACCCGTTTTCCTATGAACAATGTTTCGACACTACGTGGTTGCAGGTAGTCAGCAGCAAATACTATTTCTTGTAAAGTTATACTTACCGTTCAATATCATAGGGAGTTATTACTTTCGTTGGTGTGACATCCTTAAAACTGGATGATTCATTTATAAAACTCTCATTGTCATTCTATAAAATATAATCACTACCTGCTTTAATTAGTGGTTATATTATTTTATCATTCTATATATTTGATTAAATTGAAACTAATGAAGTGAATTAATAATTGGGAAGATAGTATTAACAGGACAAATTGATTGTTGAGTATTTGATCAAGATCATGAATCGATCAATGTGTAGACCATCATTGAAAATCTGGAATCCACAGACGGCCATTTCGTCCTAGTATGAAATTCTTCACCAATGCACATCCACGATCTCTCAGGTGGGATTCGGATCCAGGACCTTCAGTCTCACACACGAACACTTAATCTCTAGACCATTAAACTGATCAGCATTCAAAAGTGCTAATATCTAACTTTAACCAGTCCATGAAATTGTGTAACCATTTTCCATTGTCTCAACCTGACATGGATTACTTACTTACTTACGCCTACTACTCCTAATGGAGCATAGGCCGCCGACCAGCATTCTTCAACCCACTCTGCCCTGGGCCTTTCTTTCTAATTTCATCTAATTCTTGTTCATTTTTCTCATGTCTATTTCCATTTCCCGGCGTAATGTGTTCTTTGGTTTTCCTCTTTTCCTTTCGCCCTGAGGATTCCATGTGAGGGCTTGTCTTGTGACACAGTTGGGTTATTTCCTCAATGTGTGTCTTATCCACTTCCAGAGCTTCTTCCTGATTTCTTCCTCCGCTGGGATCTGGTTTGTTTTCTCGCACAGTTGGTTGTTGCTAATAGTGTCCAGCCAACGGATCCAAAGTAGTTTGCGTAGACAACTGTTAATGAACACTTGTATCTTCTGGATGATGGCTTTCGTAGTTCTCCAGGTTTCTGCCCCATACAGTAGAAATGTCATGACATTTGTATTGAAAATCTGATATGGATTAGACACTACTAATCATAGCTTCCCACTAAAGTTTGATCTCAATAATGATTATAAACATTTTACTTGTCTGATAAACAATTCTGATAAATGAATTGAAACAACTATACTCTTTTCAATTTTGCACTGATAACCTCTTGATTACACATAAATAGGGTAAGCAAAAGTGTTTTTCCTCTTTTAAAACTGAAAAAACAATGATAGATTCAATTCTAGATAAAGGACATATATATATATATACAGTAGTAGGATAGTTATCACATATATATTCTATAATAAAATGTGAAAATCGCTTTTCATGCTTCTTCTTCTTCTTCCCTTTTTTGTTTTATCATGTGAGAGTAAACAAGCGAATGAATATTTTTTTTATATTTTTACAAAAACATTTATGTATATTTCTAAATTCACTTGGTGTTGTTTTACTTATATCTTTCCATTGTTATTTAGGACTACAATTGATCAGTCTTTTTATTGGTCTATGTGTATCCTGTACAGATTACCACGATATTAGCCTTAAGTCATAAGTTTCTATTGGAAAGATTATTATTTCAATAAAATTTGACAATAGTGATTATTTCTCTTTGTTAAGTATGTATCTGTGTATGTATAATGCAATTTGTTTTTGTTGTTTAGGGAATTTGTATTGTATATGAATTTGTGTACATGTGGGTGTATAGGTATATAATAATAAATACTTCAATGTTTAATTTATCTATCAATTTGTGTGGTTATCATGTGTATTTATGTATTTTTCGACTATTATGTAATCATCAGAAGGAGTTTTGTGGAGATTTTAGTGAATTCAACAGTTGAAATCATGAGTTCATTGAAGCTAGACCATCATGGAAAATCTAGAAGCACTGGACGGCTGTTTCGTCCTAGTATGAGACTCCCCAGCAGTGCTCATCCATGATCCCGCCACCCTCAATTTCATGGATTGGTTGACGTTAGACATTAACACCGTTGGATGCCGGCTCAGTGGTCTATTATGTAATCAACAATATTAGTTTACAATTATTTGTAATAAGTTTGTGCCAATATATACAAGTATGCAACTTTTGTTCTAGTTACATAATCATTCCTTTTTGTTAGTCTATTATTATATAATACTTCATCTAATGATAGTATTGTCTGGGTTTTTTGTAGTGATTACACACCTGTAATACTGTGGTAAAATGGATGAAAAACTTTGTTATGAAAATAAGTTAATTTAATTGGCAATAACAATTTAAATCAAATACAGTTGGTTTGTTAATATACCTGTATAAAGCCATTAAGTAAATAGAGTAGTAAAATTTGTTGTTTATTTATTTCATGTCCATTATTGATTGAGAGTTTGACGACTACAATGGTGGACAACAAATAGACTAATAATATTACCTTAGGGAAATTTGTAGAGATAAGTTATTTTAAAGAATTATTCCTAACTAGGCAACCAATGAAAATTAAAATGAACTGGATGAATGTTTTGTCCTAAAACAGCGTGCATGCCACGATCTTATCGATGATAGAATTCAGGACCATTAAGGTCTTATGGTTAGAAATTAATATTTAGACTGCTGAGCCATCAACCAATGGTTTACATTTCTAACTTCAATCA